AATGAAAATGTCCCTACACAGTTCAAAATAAATCAAAATATTTTGAAGATGTTATCGTGTATAGAAAATGCAAATATAAACAATCACTGAAAATTTCATGTATCTACGGTCATTTGTTTTAAAGTTACACCAAAAACCAAAATCGATTTTCTCGAAAACAGATTTTGCGTAAAAATTCCCGTGTTTTCTTAATTTTTCTTTTGTTTTTCCCGGCGCTTTGAAAACTACTGGGAAATTTTAATTTTGACCTCCCCAATGCACCAACGATATTCACTTTCGAATCGAACAAAATACTGAAGTTGATAATCGGAGAATTATTTCGACTACTTATCGTGTCCACAGACACAAAAATAAAAAAACACACATCATTGTAAAATCAATACATTCATGGTTTCACTCAGAATCTAAAACTAAAAACTAACTAAAATATATATATTTAAAATTTAAATATATATATCTGTGGCTTGGTGAAAGAAAGGCCAATGTCACATTTTGAAAAAATTGAAATTATTTGACCAATGTCATTAAAATCTGCTTATGTTACTTGTGTTAAAATGGCCAATGTCTCTTAATATGCTGTATGACCAAATTGGAGTTGACATTGGCCTTTTTGACAATAATCGATTTATTATGGGCCTATGCCGACATTTGCCACATATTATCTATAGATACGACATTGGCCATTTCTAAATCAATTAATAAAGTTTATAAATGTAGAAGTTACTAACATTATGTTCAATTGAATATTATCATTAGGTTTTCATAAAAAAAGTCAAGTTATTTAATTATTAAAAATTATTTCTTTTAAATTTTAGTTTTTGGCCAATGTCGAACCAATGAAATTTTATTATTTTTTCTTGGGGGGGGGGGCTAATGTCAAGCTAAAACGTACATATCTATACTTAAAAACAAAATGAGTCATACAATGAATAAAAACAAATGTAATTAAATAACAGAATTTTTAGAGTTCAAACATAAAATTTAAGATTTTTATGTACATTTTAAAAATTGGCCAATTTAATATTTTAAATTCCTGAACATTGTAAAAAATATAACATTGGCCCATCTTGCACCAAGCCACAGATATATTATAAATATAAATATATAATATTATATAAATATATAAAAATTTTAAATATGTTTATATAAAAAAAAATAAAAACTTTATAACTTCCTTAAAATGATAATTTAATATAATAACAAATCCAAATGTACACATTTTTTTTTGTATGAGTACACCTAGTTGGTAATTCCATCGTTAAAAATGGTATTAATTAAATCATGGTCCATAAGGACAAATTACAATATAAAACAATAAATATTAAGAAACACGTATGACGTACCCATCACAATGGCGTGACAATGCGATAATCAAATATATTGTGGACCGAGGTAATTACGAACGGCGAGACGTGTCTCATAGCGTACATAGTAAACTCTACTTACATTAGTATTCCCCCTGTACCCGCGTTCCCATATTTGCGAGACGTTGAGTCGCAACGTCTATATTAGATTTAGATATAATACCATATTTGGAATGACCCGTATCGCCAGCTCTATAGCGCGCTTCTAATCTATTTTAAGAATTATAAAATTGTACAACACAAGGTACAACGAAAAACCGATTACTGAAACAAACATCATATTATATTTTGTAATATGAAATAAAATTCACATTTTCAAATATTTTATAAAACAAAATAATAATTATTTATTTGTCTCGTGTTTTAATTTCTAAGTGGGGAGACGTTGTCTCTTTGTCTCCTATGAGGCTTCGCCACTGATAAGATATACATATCTACTACTTATTTTTCAACACGATGCTTTAGCCTGGAGATCCCTTACGTCCGCAAGCAATTGGATGAATACCTATCTAGGATTACGGACCAGAACACCACAGCACACATTATTGACTATAATTGGATAAGAAGTTTCGAAGCCGAACCGTAACAAAGATTTCCTCTTTTGCTTGATTACAGTTTTATATATATAGATATAAATTGTTAGTAGCTATCTGGATCAGAAGCCTTACGTAGTTTTGTTAACATTAAATGATGTGGACAAAAGGTTTCTTTTTCAGATGAGACACTTTCCTCATTTTCCTCAGTTTTAAAGTCTGTATTTAAGAAATATTTATTTAGAACCATTTTAGTTATCAATACTATTGTTACATCCTGAAAGTTCTTTTTATATGTTATTAAATAAACTAGAGATTTGACAATTTGACAATCATATTGAAAGCCATAGTTTACAAAAAGAGATAATATAGTAGTAAGACGTTTTAGATTCCTTTCCTGAAGAATTTTATATTTTTAAATAGCATATTTTGGTTCCAAATCTATGAAATGCTTTATACTCTGATGACTTAAACGTCCACGTGCATAATATATCATACTATAATATATTTTACTATATAAGTAAATATAATTAATGTTGTATCGGATTATGAAAAAAAAAAAATTTAAATAAGCCAATATTATCACAATTATGTTAATATGATAGTATTTGTTTCTTCCTAGGCCTTCGATTTAATATTTTAAGTTACCTACCTAAACAATAAGGACATTAATTAATATTGTATAATTTATTTTCTAGGTTGGAGTATGTAAAACATTTTTGAGTTTTTATTTTTCATTGATCATTATAATTTATTTTTGTTTGAATGTTCCTTGGTAAATTTACACAAGCAATAGTTGTATTCTTTTCAAATTGTTTTTAATCAATTGGAAATCATAGAAAATACAATTTTCAAATCTGTAACACTCTTTAGAGCTTAGACGTTATAAAATCTATAAATAAGGTCGATTACGACTTTTCCCAAATGTATAGTAATTAGGTCGGCTACACTTTTTTGTAAATTTATTAACCTTTAGTGACGCGCGCGGTATCAGACCATATAGTTGCGCGCGTGGGGTAATTATTTTCCGTTAATATAAAAACACTTTTTTCTTTACATTATTCAGTTATTATTGACTATTTATTGCAGATTTTAAATTACAATTTATAAAATAACTTTCTTATTAAATTAATTAAGTATATATTAATTAATTTACATGCGTGTTTTACAAATTTTAATAAAAAAAAAAAAATATTAAATAATCTTTGTTTACAAATACATAATTTTTAGTTCCTTAAAATTTAAAATTATTAAAACTATGAAGCCTCAAAGCAGTCTCTAAGGGCAAGTCTCTATTACATGGTCTCTGCAAATGAGCCTTGCGCAATTAGTACATACTTTTGTAGCCTTACGATCTTTTGAGCGGTCACAAAAAGTACATCTTCCAGAAGCTCGTACACGTTGTATTTCCCCCACGTTAGGTCTTGTTATGTTGCAGTATTCATTTAGTCTTAATGTTATTTGTTTTGGCAAACAATCCAGTGTCAAACGATATTCCATTTGTTCTTGCATTAGTTGACGAGCTAATGTCTTCAAAAATACAAGTCTTGTTTTTCTTATTGAAGTATTTTCTTGGAAAATAATTTGTGCGTTTAGTCCACCGATGTTTAGCATTGAATAAAAAACTACTAATGGCCAACGTATACACCGCCGTGCAACAGTGTAATTCTCGGTTTTCTTATCCATTGTATCCACAGAGCCTTTCGTTGCATTATACATCGTTATCATGTTTGGTTTTTTTGCCGCTCCTGTACTACTGTCGATTGAATTATCATTGTGCATTGTGGATAATAGTAATACTATTTTGTTATTTTTAGGTTTGTATGAAACTAGAACTTTTTTTCCACTAAATCCAAAATAAGAACTAAATACAGGGCGATTTTTCGTGATTTTAAATTCCTGTGGTATTTGAGTTTTATTTTTCCTAAGGGTACCAAGTAAGGTGAGTTTTTGATTCAGTAATTCATCTGCGAGCGGAACACTAGTAAACCAGTTATCGATGTGGAATTTAATACTTGAATTATGTCATGATTACATTATAGTTGAATTTAATTTTCCAGCTATTTTTAAATTTTTTCCCAAATAAACTTTCGTCGAGTATTGCTTATTTGTTGTGAATATCACATATATATATATATAGGTATAATTGTATAACTAATATTATAAATACCGCCATAAACATCGTCGTCGTCCTCGGGCGCTGATTCCTATTACGAAATAGTTGGTGGAATAGGGGCTAAGTCCATTTAGTATTTACGACATTTTAATACTGTCTATCACACATTATATTTTTTATACATTGGTCAATGATATTATTTTAAAGCTGTTGTTTAAAGTGTTTAAAGGGGTTAAGATTTAAATAATTTGAAGAATAACTACATATACCTATTATACACGGAAATTAAAAATGAAGAACCTTTCTTCTTGAAATGTATTTTACGTATGATATAAATAAAAACAGTAGTAAATGTAATGTAGTGGGATGTACCAAGTATATATCTGGTAAGCATTCGTAAAACTTGGAGAAACACATTTTTGCCATTCACAAAAATTAGTACAAAATTATTATATATTATTTTGGTTTTTACGGTTATAAAGAGAAAATTATAACAATAACATTTTTTTATGCAATTTATTTTTTTGATTTATTAAGATCGCCATTATCTTGATCATATGTTTTAAACTTTAAAGCAGTTTGAAAAAATAAATATTTAAATTGAAGGAAATCGACCAAATTAAAGCATATTAAGTTTTTGATTTTGTAATAATAATAGTTGTGTTATCAACCCCCGAATAACCTAAATAAACTGTTTCAAAAATATGATAAAAAAATTTTAAAAAATGATTTTTAAAAACCGGTTTTAACCGGTAACCGATTACCAAAAAATATAATCAACGGTTTTTAAACGATTAACGGTTATCATAGTGTTTGAAATATCTTTAAAGAAACGGTTACCGGTTACCAAAATATCAAAATTAAACGATAACCGGTTACCGGTTTTCAAAAATTTTCGGCTCCTGCTGGAGCCGATTGCCGACTTGATTGATAACGGTTTTAAGCCCTGCTTTTTTCTTTCTTCACGTCCTCTTATGTCATCAAAACTTATATATCGCAATAAAAATTCAAACCGTTTTTTGACATAACACATGATACAATATCTACACCTACTCCATCTAATTTCCACAAATCCCGAGCATTTCTATGACCACATTTTATTGTACCTAATAACAGAAATATGATAAAAAAATAAATAAACAACTACCTATATATTATATATTATGTATATAATATAAAATAACAAAATACAACGATAAGAACGACGACGACTGACGAAAATAATTACACAATAAAATTCTATATAATAATAATATAATATTATATAGGTATAAAAAAATGAAAAATACGAAACTGAATTTTACTCAAAACTTATATATTGGTTTTTACGGAACTTTTCTTAGTAGGGCAGTATCATATAATAATATATTACAAGATGTGTAACGTATACAAATTTATAATTATTATAACTATAAAACTATAATATAAATTATTATTACTTACCAATCATGTACAAGCAACCAAGTAAACCATTTATTTCCCGTGTGGTTGTATGAGCTACATCTCTTTCTTTGGTAAAATTTGACTTAATTTTATCGATATATATATTTGTACAGAACACTATATGTTCAATCATAGGACCCGTAAAAAAAATATACCACGCGTCAATTTCAGTTTTTGCATTTTTTGCCAAATTAGTCACACCTGGTTTTTCAGTTATCTTATTGTAACTTGGATTTTTTGTTCTCAGATTTGGCTTACGACGATTCCATTTTGTCCCATCTTTTCCATAAAAACACTCTACACGCATACTTGGTGGAATTTCATCGTCAGATTCATGATAAGATTCGCAATCTGCTGATAGTGTTTGTTGAATATCATTGTGAATCTCATCATCGGTCGATTCTCCTGATTGTTCGTGGTTCGAAGTTTCTAATACATCAAAATGTTCATCGGGTGAACATTCGTCAGTGGAAGATGTACCACCCCACAATTCCTCGTCACTTATGTCATCCAATAGGCATGCAATACGACGGCGTTCTAATTCGTCCATACTTACAAAAAACGACTATAATTTAATAAAAATAAGCGCGCGCGGGGTAAATTTTTACCGAACTACAAACACAACCAATTTAGTCAACGATTACTCACGTACTGATTGTAATTAAATCCAGATTGTTACGTTTTTATGATTGTATGATAGTGACTATAAGATAGCATGACCCGCATGAGTGTGGAAAAACCAACGAATATTTGATAGCATTTTAAAAATAGACTGGGGTAAATAATTACAACACGCGCGTCATCAAAGGTTAAACAGTTTTCAAATAAATCACTAGATTTGCTCCTTTAATCATAAAGTATACAGTGCTCGAAGTGGGGGGGGGATAAGGAGGGATGGCATCCCTCTAATTTTTTTTAGAATGTTATGAATTATGATGATATCAGGAAATCTGAATTGTAAGGCAACCTTCCACTTATCTTGAGCCATTTCGACCACTAAATGTATAATAAATATTTTATAATTATACTTAAAAATAGCTAATGCGTATTTTATTTCTAGATCTCGGTAGTAAGTTGTTTTTATTTTATTTTATACTATAATAAATTAAATAAATCTTACATGTGTATATAGCTTAGAACAGTATTTATATAATTTAAAATATAATTCAAGTAGTTAATCTAGATTTTTAGGTACCAACATTCGATACTTAGGATTTCTAAAAAAAACTGTTTGCCATTGACTATAAAATATCAAAGTGTGTTTGGAATTTTTAGTTAAATCCATGATCTTATATCAAAACAATATTACGAACATTTTATAATTAATAACTACAGTTTTCATTTTATTATTCCAGGCATCCTAGGTATGTAATAATTTTTGTTTAGTATGATACGATTGTCTTATAAAGTTTGTTCTTATAAAGTTTTCCATTAAAGAATATATTATGGATTTTCTAACGATATTTTGTCTATTTATGAACTGTAAACTAAACTACCTATAACTTTCCAATATATTGCACACATAATTATAATATGAAATTTGAATGTCGCTATAAACTAGTTATCTACCAAACTGATTGGCTTACCACGTTGCAGTATACATAATATAATTTAAAATTAAATTTGCAATTATAAATTGTTTCATAATCGGTAGTGGAGTTTAACGTTTGCTCGTTGTTGGTAACCCATTTGTGTTTATAAAAAAATCAATAAATGTATTGGTTAGTTATTATTAGTTAGTATTTTGTATATTTAGTGATTTTAATAGGTCTTTAACCAATTTATTTGTGAATTGCAAATTGTGGTAATATAAGTCAATTACTGAAATTATTTATGAATAATATTATATTAAAAGAAAATAAATGCATGCAAACGCTTAACTTTCATGGCCGGTCGTTGTGAAATTCTTTGCAATAATATATTTTGTAGAAGAACAATAATTAGGTGATCCATAAAGTTCTTGGATTGTAAATTTTAAGATTTAATATTATTTATTAAATAGTATGTTTATTATTTTATTTCTAGCAAGAAAACGTACGTTCATTATATTTTTTTTTTATTTTATTATTAAAGGTATGTGATTTGTGTTTCATAAGTTATGTAAAAGTCGTCCTGAAATTATACATACTTAGGTACCGAGAACTATTATAGTTATGAATCCACTAAGGCTTGTAACCTATCATTGGGTATGCGTATGACTATTGACTATTGTCTATTACCTACTATCATTGTCCAAATAGACCTATACATCGTCCATATAATCATGACTCTGCAGGGTTCTTAAACTATACAAATCAATCAACTTGCATTTTAATATGTATGTAGAGAACATTCACAACGGATAAGCAACACTAAATGCATGCCCGTGCGAAGGTTCTAGTAACTTTCAAACTCCCATGATATTATATAATAGCGGCGTGAAAACACTGTAGTCCAGTTAATCATACAGTTTACGCACAGTATACGTAGTTTAAGTGTGTAACATATTATGTAAAAATGTAAATATTAAGTTTTTCTAAAGAAATTGTCTAACGTGTTTCGTTTAAACATTTATCAGTGTTTTTATTGTATAATTTTAATATTTGAAACACTAAAGTAGTGATATTGACGAGCGAAAAATGAGAGACGAAAACACGCCAAACACGGCAAGCGAAATCAACATACTATAGGCCTTAAAACTACCAACATTTTGGTTTAAAAGGTCAAAATCTCAATTAAGACCAACACATACAAGAAGTAAGTATCAAGCTAAATGTGAGCATGTCTTGATAACTATGCTGGACGATGAAATAATTGGGAAAGTAAGTGACATTTTAAGAAAATACAGAGAACACTTAATACAATTTAAATGATACCTATGCTCATTTGGAATAATTAACGAATATGGTAGAACTGACGAAGAAAAATTCAACAAGTTAATTTTTGGAATTCCATTAGGTGATGGAAAACCTTCATTAATGTTATCAAATACTAAATCATTAGCAGGTAGAATTGCCATCCTCACATATTAGCACAAATGTGGTTACTATTACTACTAAATCAAGCACAAATATAGTCTGTCTCATGAAAGAAAGATACAGCGTATCGTCGAAATCCGGTCATGCTTGTGCATCATCGCCCCGCACTACCAAATTGGATCTACTTGGTACTTTTGAGAAGTACAAATAATTTGTCATCTCAAACTCGCTCACATAGAAAAGATGGTATCTAAACATGATAAAACCCCAACCAAGATCAGATTCAGTTCAGGAATGTTAAACAAAGGCAACTCAGAACGAAAAGTACACTGTACTAAATATTTAACTAGTAGGTAACTACGTCATGTAAATTAATCATTAATTATTGTAAACACTAAGTGTATTGAGAGAGAATAATGTACTTAGTGACCATGGAATCAACAATAATATATGTGACGGATAGACAAGACGTATTGTAAGCGTATAGGTACCTACCATATTATGACTATAACTATGTAACATGATATGTCATATTATTGTGTATGACTGTAAATATTAAGTTGTTCTAAATAAATTGTCTAACGTTGTTCGTTTAAACATTTATCAGTGTTTTTATTGTATAATATTAATTATTGAAACACCAAGATATAGGTAATTAATGGTATATCCATAAAAACAAATTAATTACAAATTATTATTATTATATTATTTTTTTTTCTTTTAGACGGAGTAGGAATGAGTAAGTATAATATACTTGAATTAATTTTGTGCAAAATATATTTATAAGTATTGAGTTGCATTTTCCACCATATAAATTAATTAAAATACCTATATGCTTTTAAAAATCTTTGGAGTATGATGATTTGTTTGCTTTAAAAATAATAAAAATTAATGTACAATTTAAAATTAATTTAAAACTAAAAATTAATCTAATTTTATCATCTGATATTTTGATTCGCATAAAGAAGACAACAGTGAGATTCTTGAGTTTTTTACACTCTGAAAACAATCTACGAGCCCAGGGGAACACTAACATCGTGACCTATATAAGCAGCACCGCGAATTGACCCTAAGGTCAAGTCCGTGGGACTTATAGGCTCTGAGTACATAGTCACTTTAATGAAAACGTGGGTAATAATTAAATTAGAATATTAATAATATTGAGAGTATGATGTGACACTTTTTATATTATAATAATCAAATAATAAGAGGTTTTGGTTTAAGGTACCTAATAATAATTATAAATTTTACATAGGCAAATACTTTGAAAAATAATAATTTAAAAGAAAAATAATGGCATTAGTAATTAAAGAATAATAAGTGATTTTTTTTTCACACATGGCATTATGGCAAGGTGCATAATTTAACTAATATAATAATTATAATACTGAAGTGGCCACAAATGTGGTTTATAATAAATGTTGGGTCAGCATGGCAAGGATATAGAATAATAAATATTACTTCGTCCCAAGACGTTATTTTTTGTAAAACAACAATTATGATGAGAACTACGGCCCACGGGGTTCGGCGTTTTGCATAGCTTGCAACCCCCTGCCACAAGGTTACCGTGTATGTTACCTTATGCATCTTTTAACAGTCATGGCCAAACGGCTCACATCTTGTGACATAGAAGTACGGTGAAAAGGAAATTTTTTAACGGGGGCTCACGGCTTGCGCCACGAAAGCTAACACTATTATAGGAGGGGAGACATAGAGAAATTATTATGATAGGTACATTATAAAAGAATTATGGAATCGATGATTGACGTCTTGAGACGGAGATGTTGGTGGTATGGTTGACGGAGTCGGCTCTGTCCATCCCCGGGCATACAGGTCGTGCTTAGCCCATTATGCCAATGGTTGACACGGGGTTCACAGCAAATAGAAAAACACAACTGGAGCAGCTGCCACTTGTTTTCGGGACGTAACACGGTAGGACGTCGGCTGAGCTTACTCGGCGGTCACCGTTAGAGAAGGTTGTGTAGAGGGAGTTGGTCAGTGTCGTCGTTAGGCCGGTTTTCATACAATTTTAATAAGTTGGGACACAAGTTGCCTGCGGTACATGCCAGCGATCATGACAAAACCACTAGACAGCGACGGACACTGCTTTGTGTGGAGTGAGGGGGACATTGAACACTTTTTTTTCTGCAATAGTGATTTTCCATTACTGGAAGTTTCGAGAACCAGGTAGTAAAATGTTTATACTTAACTATAATGATGTTTTGAGTCTTGGTACTTCATTTTCAGAATATTTTTTATTTTTATTATTAGTAAGTTTTAAGGAGATAATTCTTCGGACGACTTCAACCAATTTTGTACCATCCAATCACTAAGATCCAATGTTGCTAAGAACATCTTTTCGCAAACATAGAGTTTTTTATTATTTACATCTCTTAAATGATACTTAAACGAAACAGATCTCCTGCTGTCAGCATCTTCCCCTATAGTTTTTCGTTTAGTATCAACTTTTTCTACTAAATTAATAGTATATAATTTTTTTACTTCCCAAGTAGTAGACCAAAAACATTCAAATAAATTGGATCTGTGTTCTTCACAAAAAAAAAACTACATTTCTTAGATTTTTGACACACAC